AGGCTAGTGAAGCGAATAAAGTAGGAATAATGATATTGGTTATTAGATATTTTTCTCTAATAGAACAATGTGTACCAAATACCCACAATAAATTATATGGCTTACGAACTTTCCTGAATATAGTATAGGAAAAACGGAAAGAAGGGCCTCTACAATATTTGCTGAACACATTTCCAGGAACTTACGGCTATAGGTTAGTACAATCTTTACAAGTGCAATTGTCAAACACATTTTGGATAGTGCATATGTAGTGCATTTAAAATAATTCACAGACAAAAAAACACCTTGCTTACTGCACTTCGCAAAGGTAATCACTATGATACGTTTCCGACGTGACCTATGAATATACAAGAAAAGTTAGACTAGTCTTTCCCTGCTATAGTAATTGGATATCTGTCAAATAAGATTTATTAATCTTAATCTGTAATTGATCTGAAAAATACAATTTATTGCGCTATAGATTTGGAACAATGTGGTCCAACTTATACGGCATTTTATATGATCAGACTGTTCGAAATGTACGGCGCAAATACACTAAATTTCCCGGATCAACTACATCCTCTCACTGTTTTATCAAAGTTTATAAAAGGGACTACTTGTTTTTCAATCTTTAGTGATTTTTTAACCATTAGCAGCTTTTACTTTAATCTTAACATTCTTCTTCTGATGCTCATCTCTTAAACAGTTTCAGTGGTCTTCATAGATTTGTTTATTTTATTATGTTGAACAATCATTTATCAATTTCATTACCTTTACATTTATTTACATAACATCTTTTGTCTTGATCATAACACCTGTTTTACTCTGAATTATTGCTTTCCACAATATAAATACGCATCGATTTTAACTGTTTATTCTTGCTATTATGATTTTGGTTACGTTTCGAACATCACAAAATAAAGTATACTTAACATTTCTTAATAATTTTATTAGTAAATGTAATTTTTAAGGTTGGATAGAGCTGATGAGAAAACGTATAGTAAAATGAATGTATTTTATTCTGCAGACCTTTTTGTTCCTGCTCTGTCTAAATAAAGTTATGAATAAATATTCAATTATAAAATCATGTCACCACTCCATTAGTTTCATAAACTCGATCTATCTTCGAGAAAATTAGATTAATAATATTTCTGAATAAGTTATATTTGTTTTATTGATACTGTATTCGTAAACAAGTAACAATTAATTCATTCAAAGTTAACATCTATTTGATACTGTTCCCAGAATAAATTTAATTCTACATTAAATGAGAAAATATTAATTTGGTACACTATTTACGAAAGTTATATATGAGCACAGAATAAACAAAAATAATATATTATCAAAGTGAAAGCGAACTTGAAGTATGAAATTGGTGATGATAACTCTTTTGAAATATCGATAGGAACTTGGAGGCCATGTTTTATAAATTCTTTGCTGATCAACAAAAAAGTTACTAAAAGTGTTTTTTTTTATCATGGGTTGAAATTAAACCAAAAAGCTATTGAAACTTAGGAATAACTAGACAGTTATTATCAATCTATGGTGATATTCTACGGTACTGTGTACAGAAGAGCGTTAAAACGTGATATAATTCATGGTACCCAAACTTCACAATGAATTCAAGGCTCCTAGATCAAGAGACTCGAAACTCAAAAGTTAATGTTTTCAATTCCAATCACGTCTTACGATTTAACATAGCAACCATAGGATATTATCAACCAATTACTATGTAAGATCATAGGTAAAAAATGCTAAAATATCAAAAATAGAGCAAAAATGGTTGCCCATCAATACATGATGGTTCTGACGATTCTCCGACTAATATCTGCTTGCGACAGAAATTCGCCGTAAAAATAAAACATTCCCATAACTTATCCAACTAAAAATGTATGCGTAAAAGAATATTATCCTGTAAAAGAATTCTAAACTGTATTGACAGTTTTTACATTCAGCACAACTTGTCCTGTTTAAATTTATTTCTTAAACTATTTATTATTGTTATCTTTATCTCAAGTCCATTTCACCTTGCAAATCGTCTACCAAACTGCAGTAAAGAACATTCACGTTATGGCAGTAAGGTGGATCTTAGATCCATTAATAATATGGATATGGATCATGTAAGTAAAACAATCTTTGGATCATTCTTATACCTACTATTACTAATAAATTAAATCAACTACTCATTCATTTCTTGCTAAATAAACTACTTCTAATAATACCAGTGAAATAATTTGTTATAATAATACAAGTAGCGTGACTGGAACTCGAAAACATCTGTTTTGTTGAAAGAGTTTTGTGTAGAATCCTTTGATTTGTGAATTGTTGTATTCATCATAAACTGATCTGAGATGGGATACCATTGAAAACCCCCAGTGTTTCGGACAAATATTTCATTTTATTACGGGACTCCAATAGTATGCAACCACGACCACACTAGAGATAAGTTGACAAGAAGAAGAAGACTATGAAAACTCGGATCATAAATTAGTAATTCACAAGAACCTATTGCCTAGTCTCTAAGCCTACATATCAGCAAAAATAACTATCTCTCTATTTTTTTCACAGATTCCTTTAGAGAATAATTACAAAGAACAAACATTTAAATATAAACAACATGAAAAAGAACTTACGGAAAAATTGAATCAAATAAAACAACAACAATTAAATAATGATAATGATAAATACATGAGGAAATTATCGAGAAACATTAACGATATGAGTAAAAATACCATTACTACTAATAATAATATTATTAATGATACTGGACAAATCTTTCCAATCATTATTACATCATCTGAAGACGACAAATACGATAAAACATCTTCGATTGAACAAGAAGACATCCATAAAGATCTGGATGTTATTAATGAAGATAACAATGATGACGATGAAGATTATATTGATGATGAAATAGATGATGTACAAGATGTAAATAATTATCTATCAATAAAATCAGTTCATTCTTTCTCTACTACAACTAGTACAGACTATACATATTATCCTAATGTACATTCAAATTACAACCAGAAATCACAAAATACATCACCATCACAACATAATTCACATATGAATAAAATTAAAGTATACACAAATATGCCAGATGCAGCGATCATTCAACATAATAACAATAATAGTTATTATTACGGTCGTCAGCATACAACTTCTAATGAAACTCAGAAGCTAACATTCTATCCTCATCCGCCAGAAACAGATAATCAATATTTAACACCAAGTCATTTGTATGATAAACCTTGCAAACTCGGTGAAGATTTTTCAGATAAACGTGGGAGAGGAATGGAAGAAAGAAGAAACAGAGGATTTTATAGGAAATGGAGATACAATACATATCAGCAACACCCAAATCCAGCGAATCTAAATTTCGCAGATGCAGTGCATACGTTGGTAAAACAAGCCAATGTTATGGCTAAACGAAACAGAATCAATAAATACTTACGTAAGATAGGCTAAATTTACTAATTATAATAATAATAATCCTAACCTAATCACATTATATACATTAATTTTATTAGCTGTTTGTAAACATCAGCAACCAAAACATTTTATTGATGAAATTTCTAGCAACAGAACTGTGGTGATTTAATGATTAAAACGACACTCAGCTTTCAGCCAGTGGGTCACAGACTCGAATCCCTTTCAATCTACTTCAGTTTCGAAAATTTAGTAATGTAATTAGCTCTTACATAATGTATATATATATATATATATATATATATATATATATATATATATATATATATATATGGTGTCAAGTTATCTGAGCTTCCGTTGTCATTCTGAGCAGCATCCTCAGCGTCTACTTTATGCAACAAAAACGTCAAAAACTATCGATACAGGAGAACTACTGAAAACATTGCATTTAGGTTGATTTGCAAACAACAGATAAATCGATGTTAGTCTGATCTACCAATCCATACTTATAATGCGTTGTAATCAATATAGTTTATCAGTTCGAAAGCGAGACGGCAAATAAGCAACAACAATGAGTGATGGTCACGTTGTGTATATCATGAACTAACTTACGGTTAGAATGTATGTATACCGCTGAATTCCCAATCGGAAAGAAATACGTATTTTATATTCTTCTAACCAAAACTCAAATATTCTAAAACATCACAAAATGGCTAGACCGAGACATTTCACTTATGAGGCTCATGTACTAACAGACGCTGATCAAAATTAAGTCATGAAATCCAACGACGGATTAAAATAAGTATTGACTAACAATATAGAAACTATAGTAATATCATACATCTTGGTTAGTTACAAAATCAGTTTAATGAATGATCATGTTAAAAGTTAAAATCAGAGTACTTATTGTTACTTGTGATCCTTTTTTTAATTTCTAGGCAGAAGTGCAAAAGACGTCGACTGGGATACAATTTCATTTCATAGAGTTAATATGAGTCCAAGATCAAATGGTCGTAATACACGATTTTATGGTAATAGTACATCAAGTGATCAGAAGGGTAAAAGAGTTTTGTATGATGAAAACCATATTGGTTATAAAAACTTCCACTTAAATTTACCAAGTAATTATCCATTAGTTTCATACGATATGCCACAGTGTAGTTCAACAAGAGATGATGAAACAGATGAAAATAATTCGTTCAATGAAGGATTTCATATAATTGATTTAGAAAACCATCAAGATAGTCCAACAGTTTATGACGAAGCATATGACCAACCTTATGCAACACATATTGAAAGATCTGCGTCAATTCATGAGATATGTCCAAAAAGTGAAGATAAGCCTAATAATAAATACATTGTACAAAAATCTCAAAATACGTTATGTCATTCACCATACATGATTCCATGTGAACCTAAGATAAAATCTTATGTTCAAAGTGTACAAAATTTAAATCATATCACTAGTGATTTTAATCATATCAACCCATCCACTAGATCAGATCAAATGATCAACGTGAATGAAAGTGAAGTCCAATTTCCTCGTTTACTTAAATCACCTACAACCAGTGATGATTTCAACCCAATATACTACCCTATAAAACATTATAGGACAGGTTCACTAACTTTTTACCCATGTCCACCACATGAAACCTCTTCTCACTGTTCCATGGATCCAAGTGTTAATGTTTCTGTTAAGCATTCACAATAAAAGTACAATATGCATACCAAGAAAATTTTATAAAAATAGCTTATGTTATACCGTTAGAACAGGAAGGAAGTAAAACAACAGTCTAAAATCAAAAATGTGGTTTCTTGTGGCTAGGAATCTGACTCCGATTTGGATGAACGATAGAATATTCTATGAAATAAATCGTTCATTTAATTTCAAAATATCGTCCTTTAGATGAACCCTGCTTGTGCGACGGTCGTTATTAAAAGCCCGATAAGGTTTATTTTGGATGAATTCATTTCATACATTCGCATAAGCAGACAGACAACAAAGGGAATTGCAAAAGAGAAGCAGGGTGAAGCGGAGGCTAACTGACCACCTCCATTGGTGAGGTATAACTAAATAGTTATAGTCGGACAAAAATAAGCGAAGTAAGCAATGCATACATAAAAACAATCAAGGTTATGACCGAATAATTTACGAAGTCAAAAGACTTAAATAATAACTCGAGAAGAATGGATTAGTCCATTCGTCCAAAGGATAAGACAAGCCAAGTAGGCTGCATATATAAGTGCACACTACAAGTTATCGAACAATAAGTACGGGGAATTATAAATGAGTGGATGCTTTTTTAAGGTATATCTCGGTAAGTGTCCATCATAAGAACGCTAAAACCGAAACGTATCAGTCTCAATAAAAAGTAGCTTACATCACAAAAATAGGTGCTCAGCAAGAGCTATTCAATACTTTCATATAACTACTCAAGTCTGGATTCAAGGAATAACTCATGATTGAACACAAAGCAACCAAGTGATGGAGCATCCAGATCGCCAATTAACCAGTTAGTAGTGTGGAAATCCAGTGTCGAATACCTCCTAACTTCGGCTAAGATGCGATATAATCCAAACATGATTAGTTCTTATACGTTAAGTTGAGCAGGAAAGCCAGGAAGCACTAAACAGCTGTCCCATCCTAGTACAGGACCCTTGAGCAGTTTGTATTCATGGTTTCACGGGAGATCGAACTTCGAATGGATACGTAATACCAAGAGTTGGTTGAAGTTGGAAATGTAGACCACCGAACACCAACCCAGTGAATAAAGTTTAAGTGCTCATCGCGAGAGCTGAGGGCCCTGAATCCAATCAGCAGTGATGTTGTGGATATGAACTGCTGAGTCCCAGGACGAAACAGTTGGATATTGCCTGCTGGTATAACTACGGCCAGTCCATGATGTAAGCTACAGAATTTGACAATCGAGAAAAACCTACAATTGATTGAATTACATTATTTCCATACAGGTAGATTAATAAGTTGCTTTAAATAAAAGCATTCCATCATATAACTAGCCCAGAGTAATCTACCTTTATTCTTCTCCGTTGTGACTCACTATAGCAAAAATTCAGAACTGTGACTCGAAAATATAGTCGGAAATTTTAATATTTTCAATGTCATGTTAATTGGTTTTTTTCTGGAAGCGAACAGCATTTCGAAAAACCTAAGACCTTAAGCTGATGATTAATCCTTTCTTTAGAGATTCAGCTTCTAGGTCCTCAGAAATTTAAAGCCGTCCAACAATATTCACTAAAAATAATATGCAGTATCAGGGGACAAAAATTCACGATACTGTGACTATCTACATCCCCAAATGACTAAATCTTATCCATTTTATTCTACAATCTAATGGATGACAGGAACCTCAGAGGATGATCGGATAACATAAATTTAACTTTATGAAAGTGAATAACAACTGAATGTTCCTAACCATAGGGAAACGACTAAGATATTTCCACTTAGCTGGTATGAAAAACAAAGTAATCTGCTAAAAGCTCATCCATTTACTGGAGACGAAGAAAAATGAGATCACTCATTTGAAGTACAAGTACCAACCTCATCCCAAAAAGCATTATCTCAAACAATCCAAATGAGATTTTCCGATAATACAGATTAATAGAATTGTAATTTAAGAATACTGATCGTTCCACCAAGACAGAAAAGTAGAAAGACTCCACAAATTTAGACAATACGAAAAAGACGATATTTGCAGGCAACTCCAATTTTTAATTCGAATCGACGCTACATCTAATAACAAGATTATTTGGGACAACTAGATACCTGAGAATTTACAATAACTACGAATGAGTCGGTTTAACAGACTGAAGTATACAGTTTTGAGACAAAAGGCCTAGACATGAATATTTGACATGGAGAAATCAAACATACTCCCAAAATCTTAGTCAGTCAGTCAGATGCAACGTAGAACTTTGTACGTAAGTACATCAATTCATGTTGCCATACCACATTAGCACAGAGATGTAATTGTCAATTCAAATCCAATAGTAGTAGAGGTAGTAAAGGTATTAAAAGTAATCGGAGAGGTTAGGATGAGAAGATATTCAAGAAATATGATTCAGTGAGAAAAGTTTAGAAAGCTAAAACTGGAGGGGTTGAAGAATCCAGAAGATTAGGATTTGAGAGAACACAAAGAATAAATGCACTGGCGCCATTGCGAACGGTTTTGAGCCATGTCATGCAGGGTATCTAACCATCGATTACTATCATTTTGCGGACCGCAACCAGGTAGTCGACAACTACCGACATGACTCAGTCCACTCGTCAATGACTTCATGGATTTCTGCCATGTTTTAGTTTGGCCGCCCCTAGATTTCCTACAACCTATTCCTACACTACAAAACAAAGCTCGACGAGGCAGTCGGTGGTTAGCCATACGCAGCACATGTCCCAACCATCTCAACTGATGAAGTTCCAGCACTTTATCTATTGATCTGCCATTCTTACCTATCACCCGATTCCTAATAACAGCGTTGCTCACTCGGGTGTCCCACGATATACGAGCAATGCTTCGAAGACACCGATGATCGAAAAACAATAACCCACGAGTATCTTCTACTCTCATTGGCCATGTTTCACAGCCATAAAGTAAGACGGAGCGAACCACTGCACAGTACACTCGTCCTTTTTGTCAGCAAACGGGTTTCTCGCCTACGCCATAAGTGACACAGGTTGGCAAAAGCCAATCGAGCCTTTTGTATCCGAGCTGAGATTTCGTCAGTCACCAGGCTGTCAGCACTGATGAGACTCCCAAGATAAGTGAAGCGTTCAACACGCTCGACTACTTCACTCCCTATCACTAGTTCAGGTGCCGATGCAACACAATCTTGAAGCAACACTTTGCATTTTGACGGGGAAAACCACATCCCCAACATGCTTGCATTGTTGCTTAGGATAGTCAGAAGACTCAGCATTTTGTCAGCGTCTTCACCAAGTAGGACTATGTCATTGGCATATTCTAAGTCGATAAGCGAGCCTCCTGGTAATAGGTCTACTCCTGAAAATTCAGACGAGGATAAGGCTATTTCTAAGAGCATGTCTATGATAAAATTAAACAAGAATGGTGAGAGTGGTCAGCCCTGACGGACACCATTTGAAGTAGAGAATTCCGGTGACAGTTCGCCATAAGCTCTCACTCGACCAGTGGTGTTCGAGTAGAGAGCTTGTATAAGGTTAATGTACTTCTTTGGTACACCTTTCAATGACAGACACTGCCACAGAACCTCACGATCCACTGAGTCGAATGCCGCCTTAATGTCCAGGAAAACAGCTATTGTAGGACGCCTAAATGTGTCCCCCAAAATCTTAGTGGCTATGCTTGTTTGTGTGGACAGCCGCATTCAGGAAACGCTGTAAACGACTATTTTAACTTGAATTACAATTATGATAGGCTGACACCGTTATGATTTAGCAAACTAAATAGGTCAACTTATGGATGCTCACTTACCATGATACAATAAGATGTCTCAGAAACGCACTCCTCTGCCAAAGTTAAATGCCCAAAAGTCACAGTCTAACACGAACACTAAATAACAACTACTGTAAAGAAAAAATGACTACATCTCATCCGGTCAAGCGTAAAATAAGTTAATTGTAATAGACCTAGCATATCTAAAGATAACAAATGTTGGAAATAACATATTTTGGAAATCATCAGTGAATACGATGTAGTGATTCAGAACGCGGGTCTAATGTAACACCACCACAACACAGAAACACCACCCGAAACCTTCTTTGAGCATCATATCGATGACTGTTCTGCACGTACTGAGGCCAACGAGCCCCATCACTTCATGGCCAAATCAAACTAGACAGAGAGCAATTGGCGACACGAGATGGTAAACCTTCCATCAAAAACAAGTCTTCCCACGACCCCATATACCGCTTCCTAAAAACCGGGTATTAGAATCCGTATAGACAACATCAAAAATGCTTAAACCAAACTGTTACTGTTACATGCGTCAAGCTTACGGCCTGTAGACCCTGTTAAGTAACACATCCCAAAGATATTTACCGATCATAATATCTACTCAACTGGCTAGTAATACCTGAGTGCTTTTGGTTAAACACTTAATCCACGTTTTAACAAATATCTCAGGAACAGCCATTACGCCCACAGACCGTTTGTAGGGAAACCTAATGGCGTAACAATATATCACACCTGATAGTACCTACTTCTAGGAGACGGTTACAAAAACAGACTAATCACAGCATTTTATAATGGGACTTACGAAGCATACCAACACTACCTCAACCTCATCATTTGGTCTACTCAGAGCTCCGTTTCATAAAACCTGAATTGCTCCAAAACAGGCTATCCTTTCAAATGTTATACGTTCTGTATCATCTCGTATTTCCCATTTAGACTAGCCTAAATTATCTGTTCAATTTTTAATCAAAATTGATATTTTCATTACATCCATTCGAGTATACATTTTAATGAGCCAAAGTATCCACCGAACTAAACAGCGAGTGCTGACTGTTAAGAACGAGACCGAGATAAGCTGATAACACTAAGACGGTTGACACACACCAAAGATCTACATTCGACTTCACTGAAAATGCGCATGAAACGGAGCTACTTAAAAAGCTTTTTTGACAAGCTGACAACAAATGTGAAATCGAATTTCCTGAGACTTACAGTCAGAAACAGACTACTAGTGTACGCAAATAACAACTCAAATAAGATGATGATGAACATTTAATGAAATCACATTAAAATTATCGTCTGCGATTATCCCTCATTTTCCTTGGAGTCCTTTCACGACCTGATCTACTCCTGCTTCGGTCTCGCCGCTGCCATCCTGATGATGAACGTGAGCGTGAGCGGTAGAAGTTTTTGTTACGGTTGTATCTTGCATTATAATTGAATTTGTAATTATAATTGAAAGAAGGTACATCCCCATACGGTGTCCAAGATCGATCTCGCCTGTTATTGTCAAAATATTCATCGGATGAACGAGAACGACGGTCGCGTGTATCGTGAACTTCTTTACGTCCTCTACGGTCATGACGAGATCCACTAGAATGTTTGTAACCACTCGAACGTTCATTTCTAGGCGAGTCTCTATACTGCGATCGACTCTTACTTTTAGAATGCCGACTGGACATATGGTCGTTTCGGGGTCTCTTAGCTACAGGACTTTCATCTTTTGTTATAGATTGGGGTGAAACATCCCTTGAGTTTGGGGGTGAAATTGATTCATTTTTATCGGACGCTGAAGAATTACGGCGGTCTATGGACCCATCGGCTGGACTCACATCAACAATAGAACGTGACGAATGGTCAGCAACATCAGGATCGGTCCTGGTGGGAGAAGGTTCTAAACTTCCACTGTGCTCATGAGATGGACTCTGTTGGGAGTGGCGACTGACAGATCTACTGGACTTGCGTTGAGATCGTTTCATGCTACTTGATTTTGAACGAGAATGGGCCGAAGATTGTGATCGGTGACGAGATACTGATCGAGCACCACTTGATGCGGAATGAGCTCTCTCCACGTCTTCTCTTTGTGATGAATGGGAGTATTTGTGTTTTCCCGAATGTGAACTTCGACTTGAATGACTTCTGTCTTTGGTTCGCTTCGGTGGACTACCATCCGAACTAGAACGGTTATGGTTAGATTGCTCACGATAAGCATCTTTTGAGTATTGAGAAGACTGTGATCGATCTTTGCGTTTAGGTGGAGTCCGTGAACCATAAGACCGCCTTTGTCTGGGTGAACTCACCTTGGACTCGTCACTAGCTGCGCCATTTCCATTACGTGACAAGCTTTTGGACCGGGTACGTGAGTGGTAACCCTTAGTTTGCGGACTTCTCGACCTGTATGGTGTCCCACTGCGACTCGAGCGAGATCGGGAGGGTCGGCTAGCGCTAGAACGACTTCTTTTAGATAAACTTCTCTTGCCTGAGCTCGCACTCCGGCTCGAACCTGATCTACTTCGACGATAGGATTGCGCCGATGACCGATTTCGTTCAACGTAATATCCCTCTGCAATTTTGAACAACTCATCAGGAATGGTTTGACGGGCTTCCTTCAGCACCTCAATAAGTTCTCGCGCCTAAATGGATGTTAGGATAAATGAAGTCTAGCTTACCAATCTCGGTTGTTTGGCACTAAAGAAAGTATACGCAGTGCCTTTCTTGTCACTTCTACCTGTTCGTCCGATCCTGTGGATGTAATCTTCAGTTTGCGACGGATAGTCATAATTGATGATATAACGAACATCGTTAATATCTACAAACAAGGAATTAGCATTATTATGACTATTCAGGAAACATTTATCAGGACCCCTTAGTTTAACACATAGTAACTAAATTCCGCAACAATCAAAGCCTAATTAGATAGACCAACCTGGCACGTTTCAAAAGGCCGAGGTGGCGTGGTTTTCATGGGTCCAGAACGAACACCAAAGTTCTGGTTCCCAAGACGCGTCCAAAATGAAGTATGGCGACCAATTTTATCCCAGAATTCTCCAACGAATACATAGTTCCAAGCTTACCGATCCAAATATTCAGATGAACGAAAACTTGTTCACCAACAAATTACAAAAACCAGTTTAGGACGAACGCGTATCCAGAGGAACGAGATGATTGAAGTGACTCTCTTATAACACCAAATCGTTTGTTACACTAATAGCCAATGTACCAATCCAACTGTTAAGACGGTCGACCAGACATAATCTGTGTCCAATACACGACCAAATGATTGGCGAAACCAAATTCTACCAGTTTAACCAGATGCCAATTATGGAGCCAATTGCTCCAACGACTCCAGAATGCCAAAACTCACCACACCCTGACATGTGATAGTTGAACAAGAAGAAAGTTACTCAGTGATTATTTAAAAATATTCAATAACAAAGAAGTGAAAGACTTACCTAGGCCTCTAGATGCGACATCCGTGGCAACAAGAACAGATATATGACCTTCGCGGAACACTAAGAGTTGGAAAGACAAACTGAACCGAACTTACTATCTAAGGCACGATCACGTTCTTTTTGATGTTTATCGCCATGCATGGCTGTGGCATCGAAGCCTTTATCTTGAAGTTTTTGACAAAGTTCATCTGTACGCTTCTTTGTTTCCGTAAAGACAAGAACACGGGCATTATCAAAGGAATTGAGAAGACTGAGTAAACGTTTGAACTTCTCGCCCTCACTTAGGATTTCTACATGCTGTCGAATGTTGTGGTTCGCACTCAACTTGGTAGACCCAACATTTATTTGGATATAATCATAAAGGAAGTCCTCTGCCAGCGCTTTTACTTCTCTGGGCCAGGTAGCTGACCACATTAAAGTTTGTCGGTCCGGACGAACTTGTGAGACAACTCTTCTGATGGAAGGTTCAAAGCCCATATCCAACATACGATCAGCTTCATCGAGCACTAGATAAGTGCAGCGACGCAGATTTGTATGTCTCGATTCCAGAAAGTCGAGAAGACGGCCAGGGGTTGCGATCACTACTTCAGGAGACTGCCCTAAAGCTTCTGCCTGACCAGTTCTTGATGTTCCACCATAAAGACATGCGGACTTGAACCCGGCTGAATAGCAAAAATCTTCGGCAACTTTTTCCACTTGTTGAGCGAGCTCTCTGGTAGGAACGAGAATCAGAACGATGGGTCCATCTCCTCGTTTTAGGCTTGGTTGGGCTTTGGCGTGCACAATTGCCGGTAGGAGAAAACTAGCTGTCTTTCCTGATCCTGTTTGAGCAATCCCAACCAAATCACGTCCACTGAGTGCTACCGGCCAACCCTGACATTGAATAGGAGTAGGTGAATCCCATTTGCTTTTCTTAATCACGCTCATGATGTAACTCGGGAATCCAGCTTCACTGAATTTGAACAGAGGTCTGGGAACATTGTGTCCAAGAACGGTAACTTTATGTTTAGATCGAAATTCTTCGACATCTCTACGAGAACGATCACGAACACTTGAGCATTCGTGATAAAACTTCTTTTCGAATTTAGCAAGAGTGTATGCACTCCAATCCACAGAACGAAGTCTCCTTCCCCCACCAAAAAAACCCCTGGAAATAGTTACACAATGTAGGCATATTTACCTTCGTCTAGGTGAGCGGAATCTAGAAAACCGGTAGTATGGCATTACTAGTATGCAAAAATACAACAGAAACCAAGTTGAAGAGAACCGAGAACAAGTCAAATGACCCAGTGAAACAATTCAAAACTCAAAGTTCAATTTCAATATCTAATTTACCGTGTTCTAATATTTACCTCAAGACGAGTCATGAACAGCTAAAAACGCAGATACTTAAGGCCCGCCAAGTGGTTCTAATGCTTTTAGATGAAATGGAGAAAGCTTCTGCGTCTAGTAGCAATGGATCACCAATCTTATTAATCAGGGACCTAGATAAGTAAAAAATGCAGAAGTAGAATTGTTATGATTTTTCATGTCAAAGAATATATCCAGGTTACTGTTTAAAGCCATTTTACAAGTTGGCTGAAAAATTGGCTACAGAATATTAATAGTAGTGACTTCTGGTAGTTATACAACCAAGGTACTCATCCATTTGTACTCCAAACAATCGCAAGAGTAAAAAGCACATCTATCCTTATATAGACCAGGAGAATCAAAGCCTGCCAAGGTAAAATAAAAAATGCTGGAACATTATCATCAACCTTCATAAGGTAAATACGATGGAACGTTACAGATTGGTCCGAAATCGACGTACAGACATAATCCTGGCATCTCAACGAAAACATGCGGAATAGTCGGCTCAGTTGGTAACTAAGCAGCTGAACAGACTGGTTTCGTAGAGCTACTTCAGAACAGAAATGCACCGGTAGGTTTCATGAGAGGATATCCCAAACGATGGGGGAACACTAGGACAAGCAGAGGCTTGGCGGACTCTTTCAGGTTAGATTTTATTGAAGAGAACTAGATTCAAATACGAAATCAAGTCAGTTACTCACTGTGAACTCTGATCGATAAAACGTAACAAAGGCTTTGATCACTTCAGATACGGGAAAACAAAAGGACACCTAAAATTCTTGTGACATATTGCACAGATTATTGCTTTGTTGCTGACTGTGACATTCAACATTTCACTTGGCCAAGGTGAGTACACTACGGACTCCAATTCACGAGACAGGATCGAAACAGTTTCAGTCAAACTAGAAACCTGTTACGTCCACCAGTGCCATAGTCAAAGTACTATGGAAATAACCAGAAAGAACAAAAACAACCTCGTAGAAACCGATAGTTTGTTAGACAGTGAAAAATGTAGTGATTATTTATAATAGAAAGTCAGTGGATATTTTCTACGTAGACTTCAGAAAGGCATTTGATAGGGCACTGAGCAACAGACTTCTCGTAAAGCTGGAAAGTCTTGCAGTTGTCAAAATCCTCCCAAAGCAGATTAAAAATTCCTCTGTAGGTCAAAACGATTACGAAAGGATAAATGTCGAATGCCCCTAATGGAAACTAGTACTTAGTGGGGAGTAGCAAGGCTCGGTTCTAGTTCCTTAGCTTTTTTTATACTATACGTGGATGAACTCTGAGATGGTGGAGAAGATTTGTAGCTAAGGTAGATGAATATGGTGGTGGTGTTTGGTTCTCTGAGCTGGATGTTTTGGTTATGGAGCTTTCATTGTTCTTCTGAACAACATCATCAGCACAAACTTCAGATGGAAGTAAAGCATTCGAATTTCTCCACGTTTGACCTGTAGCTTGTTCTGCTAACCTCGATCTTGATTGGTTGCTGTAGACCTTAAACCTGTCGTTGTTTGCACCTTTTTTTATTGCCCCTGCCTTTCGATCTGTCTCTTGATCCTATGTCACCTATGATTTTCCTGATTGGTTGATAAATTGGGTCAATGTCGATGTGTTTGTTGATTGCTGATTGACCTGAGTGCCAAACTTCTAGAAATTCTCTAGTGTTCTTTGTGCTCCCCCTACCCAGTATTTCCACATTGTTCCAATCAAATGCGCGTTCATAATTGTCGGTGTGTATTGGCGTAAGCGAAGCGTTGTCGTGGCGTTTGACTGCTAATTGGTGTTCACGTAAACGGAGCTGAAGAGGCCGTCCACTTTGTCCTATGTAGTGTTTTTCACAGTTTGAGCAATTTATTTTGTAGATGATATTTGGTTTTTCTTCCTTTGTCATTTTGTCCTTTGGTCTACATAGGATTGATTGAAGTGATTCTGTTGGTTTGTGTGCCACACCTATTCCAAATGGTTTCAGTAGTCGTGCTGTATGCTCCGATATGTCTTTGATGTATGGCAGTATGATCCGTTTGTTGGTTCCTGTGCTTGATTTCGCTTCTGATGATGGTTTCGGTTGATGTTTTTTGATGAAGTTGCGTGGGTAGCCGTTCTTTTGGAAGATAGTCACAAGGTGTTTTTCCTCGTTTTCTAGTGCTTCCTATGTGCTGCAGTGTGTCTTCGCTCTCTTGAACAAAGTTTGTATGCAGTTGATTTTGTGGGTTCTTGGGTTGTTGCTATCGTAGTTGAGAATTACGTCTGTGTGGGTTGGCTTCCGAAATACTTGCGTTTCCAGTTTTCCTGTGTTAGTTCTGGTGTCATCGAAGACGTTGTTGATCTGATTGTAGATGTTCTCCAGCTCGTTCTTTTTAATGATGACGATTGTGTCGTCTACATAGAGAACCCACATTTTTGGCTTGATCACTGGTAAAATCGACGCTTCCAGTCTCTGCATTACCGCTTCCGCGATGAGTCCTGATATTGGTGATCCCATTGGTGTTCCTTTTGTTTGTTCGTAGACCCTGTTGTTGAATTGAAAATACGTTGTTAATCATAGATCGATGAGTTCAAACAGACTTTGGCTCTGAAGCTTTCTAAATTTGTGCAGATTTTTGTCGTTGATGAGGATCAGGGAAAGAGTTTCCGTAGCTAAGCTTGGCTCTATTGAGGTGAATAAGGCTGTTACGTCGAAGGACATCATCGTCTTTTCGTTGTCGATTTGAATCCCCGTGAGTTTATCCAAGAATTGTGTGGCAGACTTAATGGAGTAGTTGGATTCATCCACCAGATGTTTTAATATCCTTGAAATTTCTCTTGATAAGTTGTAGGTCGGGGTTCCGGGGAGGGATACAATAGGACGTAGTGGGATTTTAGGTTTGTGGAGTTTCGGCCTACCGTAGAATCGTGGAATTATTGGTCGATTGGATTTCATTCTCCATTGATCTTGTTTTGATATTTGTCCTGCTTTGACAAGCCTATTTAGAGTCCTTGAGATTTGATTGTCCAACTTTTTTATAGGGTTTGTGTCGACTGGTTTATACACGCTTCTGTCCTGAAGTAGATCCTCGGCTTTCTTGATATATTCCTCCTTGTCCATGGTTACTGTCGTGCGTCCTTTAGAGCTTTTCGATGTTGTGCTGTTAGTTGGTTGCTGTGTCTCTTCCGTCGAGTTAGTGGTACAATGGTTTGCCTTATTTCTTGTTAAGTTTCTTCACTTATTCCTGCCGCTTTGAGTGATGATTCTAGTGCAGCGAAGAATACAAGCTTTGAAGCGTCCTCCATGTTATAGTTTAATCCTTTTTGCAGCATTTGTTCTTCTGTTGTTGTTAGGTGTTGTTTCGAGAGGTTGACCACACGATTGGCTGCGTTTTCTTCTGTGTGTGGTTTTGAAATCTTGATTAGTTTTTCTTTGCTGATGCTTCTTCTTTGTCCTCTATGTCGTCTCCTTGACATTTCGATCGCCGTTGTCAGTGTAGTTCAGTGTTCTGATGTGAACATTCTCTTCAGTTTTCTTTTTTCTTCATCCATGTTGCGTTGGTATTTGCGGATTCTGTAGTGTGCGTCGGTGATCATTAGTTGTACCAAATGTCTTACACTTTGTTTCGCTATTCGCTATCCCATTGGACAGTTGATTGGTGGTCTGTATCTGACACTTGTTGGCACAACAGGCCGACGAAGACATTAGTGGAGAAAATATATTGTTCTCGAGTGGAAGCCTGCCTTTTGGCGAAATTCTCCCATTTTCGAACTCTCAAGTTCACTGAGTCCTTTATGCTAATTTTTACTGGTGATGTTAAAATTTGTTGAGAAATAAAGAGGGTTACAGACGCATTAGCTCTTCAAGCGAAAGTAGATGTTCTGGTTAGCCGGTCTCAAACACGGCTGATTATTATCAATGTGGTCAAATGTCTCTACGTGTACATTACGTTTGCAAAAGGCGGCAGGGGAACAGTCACTGTTCATAGTCCAGGTTCAAAATAGGTAAACATTAAGTCACCATCTTAAGACCACAGCTTACCGCATTCTGGTTGCCGATAAGAGGTTTAAAACCACATGAGCTTTAAGATGAACGTTTACCAAGTTAGACAAACATACACAACCTCAGTCAGATCCAAACCTCAAAAATACGTCCAAACTGCAGACCCCTGTTTTAAAGGCAATTTAAATATTTTAGTCAAAGTATTCGGGGTAGCTTCTGGCACGATTTCAGAACTTCTGTCGCCTTCTATCCACAGTAGAAAAATATGAAGCTGCTTCAACTATCTCAGTGTTTAGACAGTTACACTATGTAACTACTCACAGAGTAAATGTTTCACAATATTTTATACAAACTCTGAACAGAGTTGTCTTTCAATATCCAAATGTTAAGGGCGATATTTCCTTTTCTTTCAGATCATCCTGCACATACTCTTGTGTAGTGGATTGATATCAGTATTTACCACCAGCTACCCCTTCTAATTGTAATACCTTCATGTTCAGCCCTTCTCACCGATCACCAGATACATCTTTCACCGACTTGACCTTCCCCTTTCCGCCTATCCAATCGGATCATCTAAGCGATTCGTTATCATTCCCTCTAACAACTTCCACAGTTTTGCTTCTGGGATCACCGGTTAACTTTGAAAAACGATATCTAGGATGCTCAAATCCGCCCCGAGACCACCAGGGGCTACCACCGGTCTCAAGTCCGTCAAAGAAGGATGGTTGGGAATGGGTTTGGCGACCCCATCCCTCAGAAAACTAACTAGCTAAAAAACTCCAAGCAGAAGAAGTAATTCCAACCATTTAAAATCTATCCTGAGTTCTAGAATGTCTTCATTCAGACAAATTATGACGTCTCATGATAAAAGCCGAGTTCCTTCGGAATCCACGAACTTGATGCTCCTTCTGACAGCCAGAGCAACCATTCTCCTAGGTACATGGAATGTTCAAACATTGCGAAAGACCGAAGACTATTCCAAGTTGCTGCAGAAATGAAAAGATGCAATTCGGAGGTGTATGGAATCAGTGAAATGCATTGGACGCAGGTTGTACAACTGAAACTAGCTTCAGGAG